CCTAATGAATGTATTAAGTCAGGATACTCTGTCATAAGTATGTCACAAGAACTTTTGGGTACATCAGTACCTTGGAATTCTTTATGAACTTTTGGCAGTTGTCTACGAAATGCTTCTAAATGTTCAATCTACTAACTTGTTGACAATTTTCTCATACAATATTATATGCACTAGGCAAGTACCTAGACGGATACTTGTTCAGCACTCATGTAATTAGACAATTCTCAGTAGAATACTCAACCAAGATCCTGTAACGTACTGATAACAAGATACTTGACAGGGTGTTCTGCTAAAACCTGATCTAGTAAACGAATACTTTGAACTCAGTACATTCGCTAGGGTGAAAATATGGGATTCGTTTCTCTTTGGAAATGTCCCTGAACAAAGATGAAATTTGTCAGTAGTGATGAACAGTTATCTCTAATTTGAATCTCGTCTTTTTGTACAACATTAACATGATTTATCTAGTTTTTATAATGAAGAACAAAAAATAATAGATGATCATTTTTAATATGTTTTTCTTTCAAATTTACAGGTAATCGAAGATATATAATCAAAATCTTCTTGTGGTGAAACAATGTATAGTATAATCAAAGAATACATTAGCATCTATCAGTAAGTATTTTATCATATACTAAATTGTTCTTGATTTTCACATGATTATATCAAAAGCATTTTGTAGCAAAAAATAAAATATATTCTTATTTTCTTTAGTTTTTATTTCATATGAATTCAGTTACAAGTGTATTCTTGATGTTTAGTTCTGTAATAGTGTTGAGAAATAAGTATTAATCCATAATGATATAGTGAAGAATTCTGCATCCTCTTATTTATTTAACAACAGTACTCGTCGTCAACACCGCAACCATCCCAATGATGGAAAATAAGAATAAACAATACCGATGAATATCTCTTTATACAAAAAAGTATTTGCATTGAAATAATTTAAAACTCTGACACTCTATATTTTTATATGTTCAAAAAGTTTAAAGTTTGCTTTCTTTTTCCTTACAAATCATTCTGACTCTGTGAATACTAGTTTAACTTATAGAAAAAATAAACAACCATTGATTACTTAAGCAATATGATTTGACTTCTATGGATTAATATAAATTTATAGTCTTTTTCATTTAAGATTAAATTTTAGGAAAAAAAAAGATACTTTACTTTTTACAATAGCGAGGATCTAATAAAAGACTCACTATTGCTCCATTATAATCGAGAACATATGTTCTGAACTACATGACAAATATTATTTCACACAACTATAATTGATTCTTATTTAGTGCTCACTATTGGCTTTTAGAACTGTACCGACTTAATATGTATTCCAGAGTAGTGTCACATATCCAAGATTTTGGAGATGCCACCACATCTCCCGTGGGAAATGACGTGTCTCCAGCGGGAGACGCGACACCCACACTCGAGAGATATGGTCATTCACCACTGCAGATGTAAGATCTCCTTTAGAGATGCGCATCCCCCACACCCACAACCGCATCTCTCGAGCGAGATACGGCATCTCCCGCGGGAGACGTGGTGGCATCTCCAAAATCTTGGATATGTGACACTGCTGGTATTCCACAAGATATTTACTTTCGATAGTATGCACTTCTTAAGTGTATCTTATAGTAGATAGATATATACCTTCTATTTTCGAGCAGTAAAGAATCTTCGAGAGTCATAACATATTTTTCACAGCTAAAATAAGGACTGGTTGGTTTGAAACTGGTACCAAAGCAAGGACTTGCTGTGTCCTGATCGCATTCAGAAGCTCGAGTCCTGCTCCCTTTACTGAGACTGAGATATCAGGTCAACACCAAGGATTTTATGTTAATATTTTTGACGAAATTGTGTGATATTTCAAGGAAATGCTGATACTTTTCGATTCGCTGAAGTAAAGGTAATATTTTTAATGCAATAGCTAGTTCCGATGGTGATCTATCTCTGCTAGAAAGGTCACTTCGATTTATCGTACCCTGGTGATTTCCGAGAGCTGTCGGTCCGGAGATATAGAATGATATGAATCTCTACTTCTGTACCGGCTATAGTTCTGAAAATTTTAGCACAGATTTGCCCATACTTATACAGTCTACAATAAAATTTTTCGGCTGAACGGTTGAGCCTAGCTTGAGATTTGAATCAAATACTGGTAGGGTTGCAATATGCCAGTTCCATGGGCAAGCAGTATATAGGCCATAACTTAATGATGACATGTCAGTTTGTAATGAAAATTTTACTGAATAGAGACCAAGAGCCCAGCTTTCCAACGATGGATCGAGCGGCATAGTATCTCTTTCCTAGCCCAAGATAACACAATAAGAAAAAATCCTTCGTGTTGACCTGATATCTCAGCTTCAGTAAGGGAGGCAGGTCTCGAGCTCTTGCATGCGATCAGGACTCGCCAAATCCTTGCTTTGGTACCAGTTTCAAACCAAACAGTCCTTATTTAGATAGTTTTCGCCTAGGGGCGGGACTTTTGGCCACTACTGTATATCGATGCTAATACGAAATCACTCTAAGAAATACGCAATGACCCTAAAAGAGTCCAATTTCTGTTTGAAATGGAAAGCATTTTTGTTCTAAATTCAGATTGAAATTAAATAGACTAGTGTCTGAATAAAACGTTAAAATAGTGTAAAATGATCGGCTTAACTGGTCACAATCAAATTTAATGATAATAAACTATTGTGCTGTGATACTATGCTTCCTATGGTATATTACATCAATTGTACCGACTATGCATTACTAATATAATTCACCTATAGTCTTCTATACATTTTATAAAGCATAAAAAATATTACAAATATGTGTGATATTATTTACATAGTTTCTTTATAATAAAGTAGAATTATTTTGACATATTTTTATTGACTCTTTTGGTAGAATGACATATTTGAGAATGGAGAATAAATTATTATAAATTACATTTCTATTGCTTAGAGTGAATACAATCGAGTTTATTTTTTTTATGCATATTTCTTGATTCAATAATTAATAGTTTCGAGTCCACTAGATTCGAAAGTAGGTTTACAAGTTTTTCGTTACTGCATATTGCTTTCTATTTGGTACTATTTAAATAACAACATCTATTGAAAGTACTACTTTGGCAGCATGCTAGTAAACAACACTATTTCTTTATCTTGATAATATCGGATTCTAATCGTATTTTTAATAGCAGTCACTTTATCAATTAGAACTGCTACAAATAAGAAAATATAAAACCTAATGTTTTAAAACATAAAATAGTATCTAAAGTATCAAACAGTATTTGTTCTACCGTAACTATATAGGTATACTTGTAACATTGACAAGTTCAACATCATTCAATACACTGCATTGACCTGCAGCTCATTAGCTTCGAGATCGTGGGTATCGGTAACGTACTTATTTAACACCATTTCAATCAAATCCGCTCTGGTGCTTGCTATCAATACCAATAACCATCTTCTATGGTACATTGATAATGTAAAAGCTATTGCCACGGATGCTCCATTTAGTTCGCTGCTAATTAATGGAAATTTTTAGTATCAGTATTCAACCAGATGACACTGGAAATCATGCTGCGGAGAATATGTCAGTAATATTAGTACATCAGCAAGCTATCTCAGAAATGCATGGTATTCTATTTCTAGCAATTGCGGATTGTTTCATTTGCTTCAAAAATTATTGCACAGTTTACTATTGTTTAAAATTGTGTCACTTGATAAATACTCTACTACTACAGAAAAATTTATTTTTCTCAATACAACAAAAATATTAAATTATGGTTCCATTATAAGAATAAATAATGCACTCTCATAATTCTTTTTCAAAAATTTATTTTCAATCTTATTCGTTTGTTGTAAGTTGAGAATCATGTTTGAAAATAAAATGATCTAATATAGACTCAAATGAATTGACTTGTGCTTATGAAAAGAAAGAAAAAAGAACGTTAAATATATAACATATAGCTGAGTTTTCCAATTTATCGAGTACGCTTGTGAAATTTTTGAAATAGAATAACTATTCTACATATACCTACATATAAAAGTGCTCTTTTTCTATTGGTAAGCTCTTAGTAAATAAAACTCATAACATAATACAAAATATAAAATTGTTGTCTAATATTATGATCTTCCTAACATATAGTTATCTCTTTTATTTTTTTTTATCTGGCTTTATTTATCAAATAAACATGAATGAGTTTCATTTCATCCCTCACAGTGATACTTTTTATCCTAAATAAGATCGATAACTATGTTCCAGTCATTCTATCTGAACAACATAGACTATAGATAACTCTTAATAATGACTAAAGACGTACAAGATGAGCGTTTCTTCTACCTTGTATCTTGTCTAAGAAAAATTTTCATACTCTAGTCGTAGCCTAGGCTTTTCTCGTCTCAACTCTACTCAACCCTTCAGAATAGAGTAGAGTTTAGATTACCGGTAAGCACTACTACATATTTTTCTTACACTGTACTCTCTGTATCCAAACTAGAGAGCTCCGACTCAAAGTTTTCGTGGACCCGGAAAAAGCTAAACTTCTGCATCTGAATGCGGGTCTGAAAAGGTCTATAACTTCATAACCCTGATACCATTCAATCTTATGTTGACCACACTCTAACCTTACGCTACTCTCCATGGTAAGGAAGGTTATTTTGCACGGCTCTAATAATGACTTGTCTTTGTCGTATAAAGTTATTTATATGAAAGTGTCAACTCTGAATATTATTACATATAGCTATTTCATTCCTCAGTACATTTCTTTTTCCTTTTGTTTACTATATTATATGTGATCTGAGATAAAATTTTAGTTCACTTTATTCGAATAGACTTGTGAAATATAAATTCAATTTGATTTTTGTTGCGAACAAGGACCCAATAAACATGCTTTCTTTTTAAGAAAAACTATCTTTTATTATACTTCAAACACAACAAATATACAAAAAATCTTTCAATTTATTTATGTGCAGTATACACAAATCTGACTGTTGTTGATTGTGTCTTTTGATTCATTATTTTGTCACATTATTGCTAAAATATCAAAACAAACTCTAAAAAAAAGAAATGAACAAGAAAGAAACTTACATTGTATTTGTTCGTTGTTCTTTCATTTCAACATGTGTTGTAAGATGAAATGCTTCAATACATACTGCTTCGACAAGATGAACTGGCCATTTATTAGGTGCAATCGTTGTCGGCTGTTGAGGTGTAAAAAATAAATTTAATGATGGTATACAATTGCGTGCGAGTTTAACTGAATATAAAGAAAAGGAAGTTGATGAAGAACGCATTTTATTTTTGAATTTAAAGAAAGAATAACTAAAATAAAATAACATATTTCCCAGTTTTTTTTAAAGTAATATTTGTCGTTAACCTCAACAAGGAATTAACTAATGCTAAACGATAACGACATCTATTAATTTACCAATTCATAATATAACTGGATATTTTTTTTTGTTTAAATCAGTACGATGAAAAAATAATATTTAGATTATGAGTTTGATATAAGGTATACTTTTTTTTTAGTTAATTATATGTCCATAATGAATCGAGATTTGATGGAGCCAATTTTTTCTCGTTCTGTTACTTCCTTTTTCTTTGAGACCGATAATATTGATGGCACCAAATTTGTTCATTATGATTTCTTTTCTACAGATGGCTGACATTCAATCGGCTTCTTTTGGGTGCTATTACTGAATATGTAATATCCGAGGTATTGAATCGATAAACTGAAGAAACATTTTGATTCAATACATTATGTTAAATAGAAGGTAAATCATGTGATAATATTTGTTTAAATTATATTGATCAAGGAGTTCATTTTTTCTTTTGTATTGAAAAAAATATTATTTTTATTGAAGTGTCTTTATGAATATGTTTGCCTTCATATATACAATAGAAATTGAATATCTAAAATTTCTTTTTCTTTTATCAAGTAGCAACTTTGCTGTTTGATGAAAAAATATTTCTGATTCTTTCCTAAAGAATATCACTAATAATCGAAGGTCATCTATTGTAACTCAAGGACATTGAACATCTTCGAGGTCAAAACTAATAGATTTTGAAATATGAGCTTCTAATAATGTACATGGATTGAGATGTTGGATTATTTAGAGTATTTACAATGTGTGTAATGCGCTAATGATTGAACATTTTACGTGGATTTATTTTTCTCTTTTAATCATAGTTGGATAAAATTTGTTAGGTTACATAACAGGAAGTTAGCTATAAAAAAAAACAGATTTAAAGAGAAAAAACCATGATCTCATTATTTTGAAATATACCAGGAAATAGATGCTAAATTCTCACATTCATCAAGCCCGTTTGTTGCTTTATATGAAACATACTGTCTCTTATGTAACTCACCGAGCTTTCTTCAATCATGGTAGAAAGAGAAGAATAAAGCCTGTTAAAACTTAAAATTGTTAGCACATTATATACACTGTAAACGTCTTAATACTCAAATATTTCAGTCTGTTCAGATCATAAGCAAGCCATATTTTAGATCTGTTAGTTCGTCGGCAAGAACTTTTATATGACCACAAAGACGTTCAACGTTTTTGAGTTATAAGACATATCTTTTCATTGTAAGTGAATACATAGTTGTTAGGAACCTTTGTTTTTTTTTTGAATCAAAAAATAAAATGCAACAGCTGAAGAAATGATTAGTTTTGAAATAAATTTATAATTTTTCTCATGAAGATTTTGACTGATTTTATTATACAAGTCTTGTCTCTTCTCACTTTTCTAAATATTCAAATTTAGAGATTTCTGTTCTTTTTAATTTAATTAATTATATAAATCAATCTTTTACTTATATCGATACATGTTTACGGAAAATGGGTAATTTTTGATTGATTCTTCTGGAAAGAATGATCATATCAACCATTTATGTTTATCACACAGCTGTTCATACAATCAAACAAGACAAATACTAATATCTAATGATTCGTGCTACACACAATATACACACATCTATATAGAAAGAGAGAGAGCAATCTATTCATTGATTATATCCCCATGATATTTCCCATTTTCTTTTCTCTCATGTATTTCTTCGTTTTTCTCCCATCTCCATTGTCCGTCTGAGTGTTACTTTGTGTATGTCTATCGGTTGTAGACTAGAGCGACCAGTCGATTAGACACGGTCACTATAGACAGAAAAAAAGAGAGAATGAAAGAAAATGGCATATACAGAGCACGCGCATTTTTCATCATCAACTTTACACATCACTGATTGAAGACGGCTTTACATACACACATCAAGATAAATGACGGTTTTTTTTTCGTGTTTATGTTTGTATATATATTTATATATTCAAGTAAAAAGATGAGGAAGAGCCAAATGATGACAATTAGATGACGAGTCTGAAACTTATTGTCTTGAGATTGTATTGTAGAATGTTTTATTCTACTCATTCTCTTTTTGTACTTGAAAGACAATCGAGGCATTTGTCTGATGACTTCAACTATGTTGAAAATTTAACGTAAATAAAAACAACTCCTTTATTTATTCGTTCTTCATTTTGTTATTACTCAATCACTACGTAATGATATGCCCAGTTTCCATTATGTCTCATTTTTTAGTCCTTCAACAAAAAAAGCCTTTAAATGATGTCGCCTTCTTTTCAAAATAAAAATTTTTCATCCAACCTTCCTTTTCTTCTTACGCATATGAATAATAAAAATAGGAGAGAATGAAATTCTATATATAGTAAAATAATGAAGCTGTGCGTGTTCGCATGGATACGTTTATAGGTTCTTTTATTTTTTGTTATTTTTCTTTTAGAGAATAATGTAAATTTCTCGTTAATAAAAAAAGTTTTCAATGGCAAGTTCCACTGAACATGTATCGATTCACATGCCCAAATATGAGGTAAGAGTTAAAATTTTTTGTTTTATTATTAGTAACACTAATTATTTTGACGATTAACAGACAACACCAATTCATTTTAATACTCCCACATCTGGTGTTTCAGTAGATATTGCTGATATACAAAATTATATACGTGAAGTATTAGAAAGATAATGATGGTTTATTTTCTTATTCTATATTAATTTCTATTAAATAGAGAGCCGAAAAAAATTTAGAACAATGTAAATCATTTGAAATATCATTACCACCATCAATCACTGGTATAACTACTGAATCGAACAAAGTAAATTAATATTTGTATTATAAAACTATCAAATAATCAATGCTGGTTTTAGATTGAATTTAAATCATTATTCCAAACTCCAACATTAAATGAACTTGAAATTGTTTCAACTAATCCAGATGGATCATCATTGAGATTAAATGAAGAACAACTCAAAGCAGTTAAACAAACAGGGTAAATGAAGAAATTTTCTTTTTTTTTGTTCTAATGAAAAACATCATTTTGAATTGTTTAATATAGAGAATTTGATGTAAATAGTATTCATTTTCCTGGCCAACGTCATCGATGGAGATTAAGTAAATTACTTCAATCTGGTATTCAAACAGCTAATGAAGTGCTTCATAAAGTTCGTTTTCTTAAAATAAATATTAAATTTCTATGTTTCTTTTGAATTTTATTTTCAGGAATTATCATGGGCACTTTATATGTTAATAATATTTGCTCGAGATCGTGTTTTCTCGAATTGTTTTAGTTTTAAAGCAACTTTACGATCATGGAAACAAGGCTTTGTTAGTTTAATTGGTTGGTTTACTTTTCTTCTTTTTTTTCCCATTTGTCAAATTAATTGTTATAAAGAATTGTTTTATCATAGATGCCCTTATTGGATTACCTGCTGTTTATTCAAGTGGTATTGATTTACAAGTAGAAGATGAACGAAACAAATTTATAGTTATTGAACTTTCACCACATGTAAAATTGAACATATAATCAAAGAAAACAAAAGGTTTTTCTTATTGTTAATTAGGAAAGTGAAAAAGAAATGCATGATGCATTTTGTGCACAAATACCAATTTTATTAGAAATGATGATAGAATACAACAAATATACACTTCGTCAACATCAGGTATGACATGTTAATTGTTAAATATAGAAGTATTCTAAGTTCAATGATAATTTCAAGAACATTGCTTTCATTTCTTTTTCATTTTTTTTAATAAGTGTCATTTGACAGAATTTGAACAAATTTTCAAAACAACTGAAACAAACACCATTTTTTTTGTTTCTAAAGAAAAAAAAATTGCAACGTCCGAATTCTAGTTAAAAATCTGTAATGCAGCAATAAAAAATGTTTTTTAAATCACACCGAAAAAAATATATCTAGTTGAATTTCTAGTCTGAGTGAAACATAGGAAAAAGATTTGTTTTGTACATGTAACATAATTTTAGAGAAGAGATTACAATATCGAGAGAGAATCTGAACTTTTCAACACTTTAGAAGAATTGGAGTCTTCTATTAAGTCCCTCAGAAAAGTTCATATTTTCTTGGTAGTCTTGTCGACAATGCTTAGTTTCCATTCATTGTTACTCAATACATCCATAGCAATCAAGTTTATGTCGGATATCCCCCATGTGTAGAAGAAGAAAGAAACAGACAATATTCTGTGAAAAGGAAAGGAAACAATCAATGGCAAGATGAGTGTTCTTAGAACAATACGGTCAATATACCCTAACATCTTTGTACAATGTCTCAATAGTATTCCTTTTTTCCTAAAGAATAAGATGTGCTACAGGCAACATTTGACGTTCTCAATAGCTAAGTAACTGAGAAAAAAGAAGATTAAATTTTTTTTCGTTAAACGTATTTAAGTCACTTTCTTATGTTCAGATTTGATTAGTGTAGACGGAATTCATTCACAATGAAGTGTATCACGAACATAGGTATGAGTCTCAAGCTAAATTGAATGAATACGATTGTCTGCGAAGAAACAGTTAAATGCGATGTTAGACTCAGCAAAAGTACTTCATACAACAAAAATCAATGTGTATACCTGACAATGTTGTCTTTCATTGTGAATGCACTGTTTTATGATAGAAACATTATTGAATTTCTAGAAGGATATATACAGATGAAGAGAACTTTTAATTCATACACAACGGAAAATAATTGAATATGTTTCTAGTTCAAAACAATCTCTATATGTATGACTCGTTCAAATGTGCACTGCAACAGTTAGATCATATGTTCACGACAAAAGTTTGTTTCAGGGTATAGTGCAAAAGAGCTTTGATGTTACTTTATGATGTATTTTCAACTAAAGAAATGCAGTTTTTTCACAGACTGTTCTTTCCTATTAGTTGTTTCTCAAGGTTTCTCTAACTCGGAACTGACATTTCATTATGATCACGAAAGCAAAGCATTGCGTACATTGAGCTTAAATATTGTTCTGAACATGGATACTAAAAAAAAATCAATCAGTTGCAGAAAATATTTTTAAAAACTGATTTTCAGAATATAATGCTGTACGAACACGATTTTTCGCAACTTGATCCTGATCGAATTTAATCGGCATTCGCCACATAATTTCATCATCACTGTACTGTTTTTAAACTTTTTATTTTATATGAAAAAAGTATTGTATTTAATATCATCTATAAATAGTAACACAAGAAAAGAGATCATTTCTAATTCCACAAAACAGTAAATAATTTCGAATTCACTTGGTATCTTTCTGTTTCTAAAATTCGACCATTATTGCTAAGTAGACGTTTGCTTATTGCTGATAACGCTAGAATGAAATCGTATTAACGTCTAACATCATAATTATGGATACATACATGAATGCTTTTCTCATCGCGATAATACATGTTCAACTTTTTGATAATCTATTTTCCTTTCCATATGATCAATTACTATGTCATATGATTGATCATCATTATCTGTAGATGAGTTTTCATTAAAAACGATTCCTTTTAGTAAAACAATATCGCTTTTCACTTGAATGACCATCTATTTCCGAATGTAATAAATTGCTCAATCGTGATTGAATTGGTGTTCAGTCCTATGCTTTTAGATAAATTATCAGTCTAAAAAAGGCAAACGTATTTTGACCGTCAAGATATCATTCATTGCCCGTGTTGAGAATACTCAACTCAGTTTCAGAACACTATGTCAGGAGAGGGTCTTCTAATGTGTCAACGGCTTTACTTAAAGATATATTAATAGATATTGCAACAATAAATCTTTTTTTTTTAGACATTACCACCTCGAATGCTACCATATCCTCATCATTTTGTAACACCAAATAATATTGATATTGATCTTCGATTACATAATAATGATCTTCAAACAAAATTAACATCAATTGTTAGCACTCTTCTTAATGGAAATACACCGAAAAATTGGTTTAATACAACAAAACGGCGATTAATTAATCAATATAAACGTAAACATTTTTTCGAGTATTAAAGGTTTCTTCTTTGATTATTAATGAGTTTTTTTTTTTCTTAATCTCAGATGAACAAATTGAATTAGGTTTAACAAAAGAAGAAGTAGCTAAACTAGTACAAACACAATTAAATATTGAATATGCTGAACGGGCATTCGAAACTATTGAAAATTCTGATGAAATTGAACAATTATCACCTGGTCTTGGACGTTTATTAGTTTCACACGCTCGTTCTATAATCACTATGAAATCAGTTGTTCAAAAATTAACAGATGATTTAGAAAAATATCTAAAAACGGTAAATGATTTTTCCTTACTTATTATTTTAAACATTAATCGATTCAATAAAAAATACTTAGATAAGAGAAAAATTAATTCGTGAACATCCAATCAAATCTAAAATTCATCGTTGGATTGAAAGAAAACTATTTGAAGAAAGAGTAAATTATATTCACCAACATGAATGGGATGCACATCAAACATCAATTGATCAATGTAAAGCATTGGGAAATCAACAAGCTGCATATTTTATTCAACGAGATCTTACATTTCGAAAAGATGTAATTAAAAACAGAATATTTTTACTATTACTATATATATTAATTGTTTTTCGTTTATTGTGTTTTTTTGTTCTAGCATGAACCAATTCTTCGTCTCAATCTTAATTCACCTGTTGAACCTTTGAAAACAATTAAATGTGGTCGATCAATATGGTTTCCAAGTAAAACTACATAAAGCAATAAAAACAAACTAATCATCTATTTTTTAAATCTTATTTTTAAGAAAATTGGATCGTCGAACGAACATATCCATTACCTACTGAACGAATTCCAACATTATTTGCTAAATATACATATACGCCTGATGAAGAAGAAAAACAAAGAAGACTGATTCAGTCTGATGTAAATTATCTTTGTCTTTTTAAATCGTCCTAGACTCTGAAAACAATCTATATTGCCAGAAATCTTGTAAGAGTTTTTCGAAGCTAAAAATAACCGTCCAAAGGTACGAAAACCTTCGAAACGTTCCAGATAATAGTATTGCAGTATATCTTCAAGAGTTGTCAAAATTCTGAAGCTTTTTTGGCATAACAATATTCGGAAATCGTTTCGTGTAACACGATCTAAAATGAGTGTTTAAGTATAAAGATAGAAATTTCTGAGATATGTAACTCATCATCGATGCGACAGATATCCTTATCGACACCTCTCCATTATCATAGACCATGACAGACGTTGTTGATATATTGTCACACATCTTATATCAATATGATCTGAATAAAATGGATAGATTACCTCCTTATTGCATATCAGGAGGAACAAGTGAAAGCATCGTGAATAATTGTGTCTCAGAATAGAGCGAACAAAGCAATCTCCACATGGTTAGCAACAGCAACTACGTTGTGATGTACATTTTTATTCCGTAGGGATTGTGTTAACAGCTTGTTTGCGGGTTTTTCTCACGATACGAATTTTGTAAAAGATGTATATAGTTAATATTGATTTTTCTAGCCTGATGCACAATATGATCTTAGACGAAAAGTAATCTATGCAACAACAACAAGATATCCATTTTGGAGATGGAAATTATTTGCACTTCGAACATATTGTTGGCTTTCAAATGCTATTTATACATTATGTGTACGAAAGAAATTATTTTAATCAATTATTTATTTATTTAATTTTTGCTTAGCTTGTTATTCCATTTGCTAGTCCAGTTAGTTTCCGAGCTCTATTATCTCCAAGACCATTTCGACCTAATTATGAATTAAATCGAAACGATGTATGTCAAAAAAAAAACATTTATTTGATATTTTGTACAAGAGTTTCTTGTTATTTAGTTGAAACTTCATGAAGATCCACATTCAAAAACACAAACATTTATTTCAAGGCTTGTTGCTCTTTGGAATCATGTAAGGCATTCAAGACAAAAATTTGAACAAACACCTGATCGAGGTATGTAGAAAAGCAACCTAATTTGCAATTGTTTTTCGTTCTATAATGAAATAAAACTAAAAAAAAATTAAATGTGATAGACGAAAATTGTAGCTATAATATGACATAAAATGGCAATCCGACACTTAAATGTGTTCTTTTGTAAAAGCGTACTATCCTTATCAAAAAGTTATAATGAAAACAATTAGTTGTTCTTCGAACTTTTTTCACTATTGCCTATTATTTGAACGAAACAGAGAAATAATAAATTTACATATTTAATACATTGTTAACCGTATTTCAAAAAAGAAGAGTTAATGGACTTTTGCGGTTAATAAAAAATACTATTGATTTTTTTGAAAATCTTTGTTTAGGATTTTTGGGAAAGAATATACAAAGAATATTCAATCGATTTTGGAATTATGTAGCAAAAGGTTTTATCGGCACAGTTGCTATTTGTGCTATCTATCCAGTTTCCTGTATAATTCTTTCAACTGGCTCTTTTATATTAGGTGTTCTATCACCTATTTGGTATGTTTTCGTAACTGCGCATAATAGTTTATGTTTATCTATTTACATTTAGGATGCCAATTCTTACATTACTATTTCATATACTTCAAATTCTTATTTATGATGCAACTTCAGCTGGTAATAATATATGATTAGTATAATTTTTCAGTAATAATTTTTTTTCTTTGTAATCCAGGTGAATACGGGCGAAAACTTTTTTGTTTTATTAATATTTTGATAACTGATTTTCTACTCTGTGGTATTATACAACCAATATTAGTATTAATTGCATTAATTACTAGTCCAATAACTTCACTTTTACTTGTTATTTGTGAGTTATTTCAAAACTAAACATCGTATATATTTTTTATTGTTAATCTATAATTTAGATGCTCTGCTACACCGTTGTACTCGTGGATTGTATGATAAAATAGTATATCAATTAATTGTTAAACGTTTTGCTCGAATTCCTGCACATGATGGTTTTCTTGCAAGACGTATTGCTGGTCCAGGTTTAGCAGCACAATATTTTTATCAAGTTTCATCACCAGAAGTATTAGCAGCATTAGAATCATTAATTGAACAAAATGAATTAAAAGTTTATCGTTCATATATTGAACAAATTTTAATGAAACCAATTGATGAATATCGGTTTGATTTAATTTTATTGAATGAAAAGAATAAAAAAATAAGAATTTTTTTTCTTTATTTAGACGATTTTTTAATGCAGCATTTGAACCATTTTCAGCTCAAGTTCAAATAATAGATAGTCAATCAGTTTATAGTAGAATGAAAGATGTTGTTGATGAACATATTCGAAATTTGAAAACAACAATTGAAAAGTATTATTGTTTTAATGTTTTTACAAAATTAATTTTCATTTATCTTTTTTTTTTTGAAAAAAAGGCGTAATGAATTACTTCGAGTACATCATGGTTCTCAACATGATCGTATTCGATTAACAGAGGCTGATTTAACCGTAAGACTTTGATAGTTTTTCATAAAAACAAAATTAAATAAAATATTTTCATATAGGCTGTACTTATTGAAGGAACACAATTAGTAGAAAAATGGTATCCCAAGCGAATACTTTCTTATTTCAATAAAGATGAGATAGAAAAGTTTTGGAATGATTATGATCTTGAACAAAATGATTGGTTTGGTAAATATTATTTTTAGTTTTTCTCGTTAATAAAACAAATAGCTAATTTGTTTTCTTGTAGGTTTAACAAGTAAATTACTTCAACAATTATTTTGTCGAGATTTCTTAACACCACTTGAACAAACAGATGTTTTTTATAGTCTACAAGTATGTTATATTGTTATGAACTAAATTTATAAATTATTTCGTTTTAAAGGTTGATCATTTAACATTATCAAAATATGCACATATGATCCATTCAGCTAGTTTACATGATGATCTTGATGTTGTCACAAGTGTTTATCTACCTGAAAGTAAGTTATATTTACTTAAAATCGAACAAAATGATGCCACTATACTGATAAATATATGTGACTAAGCATGTACCTAATCGTTTCAGTCCCTTTCGCTAAGATGAAAAAAAAAATACTCATATCTACTGTACCATTGTGACACAATATTTTTTTACTGATAGAAAATTGAAGTAGAGCAATGATCTTAGAGAATACGAATAGTTTAATATTTGAGGTGAATGACTGGATGGTGGAATGATAGACTTTATATGTTCAAGCATTGTCATGTTGTAAAAGGATGACGGCATAAATTAAACCTTCTCGTTGTTTTCTAATATCTGGATGCTGTTTCTTATAAGAAGACGTGTGTCACACACTCTAATGATTGCCACACCTAGCGAAATGGTTTGTTTGAGAATTACTCCCGTATGATCCTAAAAAATGATTATAAAACTTTACCAGCAGACTTTTCTTCTTACAGGTTTGTTGTTGGTAGCGATTCAACGTATTTTTATAGCCGTGATGGTTGTTTTGACTTAGATTCATAATAATGAACCTACAATTTATCACCAATCAGATGTCGAAAGAAAGTCAATTTCTGCAATAGAATAGTTAACCAAGCACACTTGACATGTTTAAACATGTTCATCTTGTTGATCAGATCTTACTAAATGTGGTACCCATCTTGAACAGACTTTAGTTGTTTGTAACTGATCATGCAAAATTTCATGCACGATACTCGATGAAATACCTACAGTGTTCACTAGTTTTGAGTTGTACGGCGACGATCTTCTATGACTAGCTTTAACAATCATTTCGTCCGTTATAGTGATGGATCGACCCATCTTAGGACTAGTCTAGGTTTCATAGTTCCTCTTTAAAGAGATGAGCTCATTCAAATATCCTTACGCGTGATGCAGCATTATCACCATAAACTTTCACTATGCCTTCACAAATATTTGATAGTGACTGTCCGTCCACAACAAGAAATTTTCTTACTGAACGATATTCAAGTGTATTATTTTACAGCAGTGTATCCAAATAAGTTCTGAAAAAATTACTATTATAGTACATATCTGTTTAGCCAATTAAATTTTATGATGTCAACAGATAGAAGACTGTATGAACTACAAATAGACATCAATTCTAAAACAATCTCGCCTTCTTTTGTTTTTAAATAAAATCAATCTCGGTATTTTTTGATTAAACATTCTATACATTTCTTTTCAGCGTCTTACACAATTCATTATCCATCTTTCAATCAAGGAATATTCAATCCAAATGAACGTATTCTTGATATATCGACAAATTATTCGTATGTTAAGAAACGCTATAAAAACTTATTATCTATTTATTTTTTCCTTGTTTAGTGAAAAACGTCGTGTAAAAACTCATGGTCGTGTATATCGATTTTTTAATCGTAAAGCAAATTATTTACAACACGCTAATAATTTATCAAGATTTGTTGATTATACATCTACAACATGTCATTTTTCTATACCAATTCGATTACCTGATATAATCTATGTTAATATTATTATATTTAATCGTGATAATAATAATTCAATAACAACAACATCAATTAAAAATGTATCTCTTCAAGATATTCTTCAACTTATTGAATACAATAAAAAATTTCATGATGAACCTATGTTACCAACATATTCAGCAAGAATTTTATCTCCTACTACAATGAATCATACGACAAATGATGATTTAGTTATGATCAATGCAGCAGTAGATAATAATGATGATGAACCATTAGATGATAATATTGCTGTACTTGACGAAAAACTTTTATAATTTTCTTATTACAACAGTGACAAAGTCTTTTTTTTTTGTGTCTTTGTAACAGTGGTGAATTTAATCCTTTTTTTTATGCGATTATTAATATGCTTTTTATTATAATTTATCTTATGCATGAAAACAATTATATCATGAAATTTTTGAGTTAAAAAACTTCTGAATGTCATTGATAAATAATGTTCAACAACTAAAAAATCTCATAAAAAATTCAGCAGTTGTTTCTTTAAATAATCTTTATGAAATCGTGAACAACAAAAAAAGAACTTCTTTTTTTAAAACTGTTTATCGATTTAATATGAAATTTAATTTTATCTAGTATCAAAACGGCGAATAATAAAAAAGAATGCCACTGTAATAATTATATCAGCACACACGGCAACAACATACCATGCAATAAATGTTTTCAATGTTATGCGATTTGTTGTTTTGTCTATACATGATGTTCATGCCCAACCCATACAACAAGTTGCTTCACCATCTGCAATATGAATGGTCGTTACTGGTGAACTTCCTGAATAATCAGTATTTCTATTATCCATTTCAAAATAGAATGTGCTCCACTGTTTTTTGAATAACTTGAGAACGCAAGCAGCTAGAAATCTGCGGTTTTCGCCAATCGAAAGAGAAGACGAGGGCACGTCTTTTTCTCCAACATTACATAGGACGAAATCCTTTTAAAACTCATTATCTTTGAGAAACATGCAAAAGAATGCATGAAAGTGACCTGCCATCTAAATGAAATTTTGATTTTGACCTTCGATTTAGATAGAGGAACTTGAGATCTATAGTTCAAGATACAATGGAAATGGTTCTCTTATTGCATTCTAAAGTTGAGCAAATGGAATCATGTATTTACATGCGCAAACAATAGAGAATTTTGCTGATTTTTTACTAAATTTTTGCACTTTTTCTCATAATAGCTGGACATTTCGATGAAAAGGTAAAGAAAAGTAGGAAAGTGCATTGTATCTTGAACTATAGATCTCAAGTTCCTCTATCTAAATCGAAGGTCAAAATCAAAATTTCATTTAGATGGCAGGACACTTTCATGCATTCTTTTGCATGTTTCTCAAAGATAATGAGTTTTAAAAGGATTTCGTCCTATGCAATATTGGAGAAAAAGACGTGCCCTCGTCTTCTCTTTCGATTGGCGAAAACCGCGGACTTCTAGCTGCTTGCGTTCTCAAGTTATTCAAAAAACAGTGGAGCACATTCTATTTTGAAATGGATAATAGATTGAAGTATGTTATAAATAAAATAAATTGTTTGACTAAGAAAACATGCCAAATATAATCGGACATATTATCCAAACCAGTTGAACAGCCATGTTAATGTTGACCAGTGAAGGAACAAAACAAAGCCTCCGTAGATGTTTAATATAGTATGCAATGTGAGAGATTACAGAAATAGAACGTCATTTTAGCGATAAAAAAATATAATGACGCCATTCTAGCTCTTATCTAGTTATCATTGATTCAAATAAATGATAAGAAGAATTCAAATTCGAACAACATCTAATATGAACTCCTACACATTACTAAGCCAGTAAAAAAAGGCATAAGCATGAGTATTTATTGATATATTAGTCATGATGGTTTTAGATTATTTTATTGAAAACGTTTCAACTTCTATGATAAATGGTGTGGTCAAAAAACGTTTTGGATAAATATCCTGAAGGTGTATGTAACACTTTCTCGTTAAGTTTTTTGTTTATTCACACGTATAAAGAACTAACAAAATACAAGGAAAGATAAAAGAATGAGACTTCAAACTGTAACTCCACGGTAGCGTAGGGATATATTTAATTCAAAATAATAGTAGACTTTTTCAACTAAGAGGAAGAACTAAGCGAGTTTCAAAAGTCAGCAAAAAGAAGCAGATTCTTACTAATATCAAAATCATACTGAATGTAGAATACTTAAATTGATTTACTAGTCAGTAAAATCTTGCTTGGAAAGTATTCTCATGAGAATTCGAATTCATGTGAAAAACGCTGAATCACTAGTGTGAAAGAAATACAAAAGTGGAATAAAGTGTAAAACGTCGAAGTCTAAAATTTTTCACACAATCCTATATGTCACTATGCATTATAGTAGAATGGTTATATTTAAATTAGCATTTTTAGGAGAACCAAATGAAAAATACTTTTGATGTTCTGTATGCACTTATAGCGAATTACAGTTTCTCATCAATAGGCCAGCAGATGTGGTCGATAGTTATAATAGATATTAAGTGTCACTCACATTTTGATATTAAAAACTTAATAACCGACATTTTTCTATTCATTGCAAAACAAAATCATGAATCTGCCAAGATGATGATTACAACGTAGGGAACGATATTATAAAAAAATTTTCAAGTCAGGTATTAATAGTATATATCATTTTGTTCTTGTTTAGTGTTAACTAACACCATCTTCAGGATAGAAATAAATGAAAAAAAACTGGAAAGGCAAAGTAAGTAGCCTGTAAAAAACCAGAATAATTCCTCTATTATCACGCATATCAATTAACTAAATTAGATCGCACAACAAAGCCTAGTTTTATTGCCTTGTTTTTATCATGATAAATTTCATTTCTTAGTATTATGAATAATTATTTTTCCTCATTGATACACTCCTGTAATCATTGTTAGCATATCAATCTCATAAAATATCATCTTAAATACAAATAATTATTCAATAGAACATCTTTTCTCAGTACAAACTGACCTAAAAATTGCTATAAAAATTCAAAATTATCCTTTTTCTTTATAGTATTCATACATTTTTTAAACAAAGAAATAAAACAAACGTCAACATCATCATAGCTCAATTAAACACATTCGCTGCGAACTTACAACACTTCTCAAATGATCTCAAACGAATTTGTCTATTCAAAGATCTATAACCATCAATATCTAATAAGTTTTTTCCAAGGTTACAATACCGAGTCTAATCCCATTAATACTTTGTTCATATTATATCACACTAAGTGAAACAATTAAAAATATATGACAGTAAGTTCTAATGAAACTTATTAATTTCAATTTCAATTGCATTTACATTAATATTTTTCCTAATTAAAAAAAAAAACAGTTCTGCTTATTTTTTTTTTAATAGAACAGGAAAAGTTTATGTTTTCTTTTTTTTTCAATTTCATTCTTAGATCATTTTGTAAATAATAATTACAATTAAAACAATCTTCATGGACATGAATCTTATTAACAATCTTTCACAACTTGAAACATTTTCTGATGAAGTCTTTTTCGAAATATTTGATCGTTTATCACCTAGTGATCTATATAAAACATTTTATGGTCTAAATATTCGTATAAATACAATTTTAAATGATTCTCGTATGCGCTTTCGTGATAATCTCTCATCTCTTAGTCCAAAACAATTTCATTCCTATGTTAAAAATGTTCTTCCACAAATTATTGATCGTCTTATTTCATTTAAATTTGGAACATATGATACAGACGAGGTTCGATATAAATTTAAAACATAATAATATTTATTGATGTCATATCATTGAAATTTTCTTCTAGTATCAACAAGTCGGCCTTTTCTTACATAAATATTCTATTGATTTAAGTCTGTTCAAACACCTTCGTACATTAGTAATAATAAAAATGACAATAACAGATGTTCAAATTGTTCAATCAGCACTTGTTCATCTTATACATCTTGTAAATATACGCTTTTCAGTTGATAGTAATGATGTTGACACAACATCTTTTGTTCATATTGGTAACGATTTATTGGCTGGACCAAAATTAAAACGTGTTAAAATGGATATGTGTGCTCGAACAACATTTGAAAATGTAACGAAATCATCTAATATTGAACAGCTATCAATAGCATGGTGTGAAATGCAAGAACTAACACATTTACTTCAATATTCACCATATTTATCTACACTTAAAGCAACAATATGTGGATTAAATTATGGTAAGATATGCATAATTCAGAATGTCTACAAAATCATTTTTTCATGTGGATGAAAAAAGTATATTGACTTAAGTAGAAAAAAAAACTTTGCGAAATTTTACAATCTCAAATTTCGTTAAAATAACTTTCATATAAGTATAAATGTTTTTTTTTTTTCGTATTCTTTTTATAGACGGTATTTTAAAGTTGGTCTCCTGATTCTTCATGCAAAATTCATTAGAAAAAATAAATCTTAAAGTTTACTTTTTCCTGATCAATTCTACATCGAGAATTAGATAATAATTTTAAAAAATCTTCTATAGAATAAATTAATAAAAACATTCACGCATAAATAAAAACCATTTTAATGATATTTTAAATCCTATGTTTCGTCAATATATTTTTTAATTTCCACTTGTAGAAAACTCACCAACTAAATTCTTCTAGAAAAGTCTATATGCTCTTTACATGCATGTGAAAAAGAATTTTGTTGAAACTTTGAACAACGCACACATTAAAAAGAAGAAAAAAAAAATATTTTTTACCTTCATTCTTAGTTGATACTTGGACACAAACACTACGTGGAAATCTTAATCAAAAATGTTCTCTACGCTTAAATTCTCTTAAATTAGTTATTGAATCAATACGTTTCGATTATTTATTATTATTACTTCATGAATTAAAGCAATTACGTGCATTGTGGTTATTACTTAATCATTATGAATATATGGATGTTGAAAAATGGGAAAATTTATTTCAAACATCTTTATTACAATTAGATCAACTTGATTTAACAATTGCATTAACTAAGCCATTTTTATCTGTTAATACACCTGGACAATTAATTATGTTATCAACACCACATATAGCATGTGCAAGATTTAACACAAAATTTTGGCTTGATCGTGGTTGGCGTGCAAAACTTGATGAATATGATCATTGTGTACGATTGACTGTATCAAATAATGCAGTACCTAAATAAAATAAAATGACAGTCATAATTAAATAGAAACTAATCGTCTTTTTTCTTTTTGTTGTTCGTCAGATCATTTCTTGTATTATTTAAAATTCCATAATTATTCCTTTTGCTTTTATTTTTCTGTATGTATGTCAATATCAATATTGTTGAGTTAAATAAAAATAGTTCAGAAAGGTGTTAGAACTTCTGTTCGAATTGACCATGATTGGTTTTATGTTTTTTTGTAATGAGCAATTTATTATTCTATTTAATATGATGTGTCTTAAGAGTGTTTTAATTTAATTATCTTGATGTTTTTTTTTCTCTTATTATTGAATTTGTACTGATAACATAATTCTAATTACTGCTAAAGGATATTTCATTTAACAAGAACATAGAAACTTGTCTACTTATAATGTTTGCTTGACAATTGAATTGAATTTTTTGTATTAATTATAAAAATATTCATCTAGGGAGAATAACTTTTCCAGTTATCTGGACTACTTTCTTTCTTTTTCCGGACATTAATTAATATTTTAAAATTCTCTGATGACATAAAAAATACGTTCCATATGATAAGACAGACAAACTTTGCGTTTTTTTTTCTAGCCACTTACAACAATATATTTATTTAATAGACTAGTAAATTATTTTATGATAAGAACGAATGTAATTCCTCGATGACAAGAAAAATAACTAACTGCGATATATTATCAATATTGAATTAAATACGTTTTTTCTGGAAAAAACTTATACGTGACACATGTCAAAAACACAACAATCTATTTAATTATTGTATACATATTTCAATTTGTTAGAAATCAATTGATGAGCCATTCATAACATACGCACAGTAGACAGTTATCACATTCTATATTAGGTGTATGTAAAAGAAAAGAAAAAAAAAGCGAACAATTGAAAGCAGAAAGAAAAAGAAATATAATTCATACATAAGATAACAAATTACAGAATTTTTCTCAAATGTTCTATTTGTAGAACATTTAATTTTGTACGTAATAAAAAGAATACACCGACTAAAGCAGGAATAGAAATAGGTACAAATATAATCCATGGAGACCAAGCTCTCATAACCAACATTATTGTTAAAACTACTTCAATACCAGCAATTGATCCTAATGTTGCATACCAAACAACACGCTTCATCGGAGTTTGTTCAGCAATCGATTGTGATGGTTTGTTTGATGTAACTGGTTGATAAACAACATCTGTACCATCAGCTGGTTCTAAATCATCAATTGAAAACATTTGTGGATCTTGTCCTGAACTACGTGCACCATTAGCATCAAGTCCAGTAAATATATCAACACCTGGTGTAAGAACAGTATGTGCCGAACGAGATATTAAATGAATATGCGAATCGGCATAAACTATACTTTGAAGATAAATAAACAAGAAAAATGAAAAACCATAATAAGATGTAACTAAATAAAAATAGCGTTCATGAGCTGTGTAAAAACTAGCAAATAAAAGTGTATCACTCATTGCCAAAAATAATATTGAAAATTTTGATAAAGCTTTTGCTGTTCGTAGTAATGAATTAAGTAAAATCTATAAAGAGATAAAGTTTACAAAAAGAATTTAAGAAGAAAATTAATCTTCATCATACTTGAGGTAACATATGCACTGAAAGTAATAAATAACCAGTCATAATTAAAAAATCTTCATATTTTCTTAATAATAATATAATACCACCACCAATAATCCATGTAAGTAAACTACTAGCTAGTAATATAATTTTTTGTTGTCTATGAAGATTATCGGCATACATAAAAATTTGTATAAATATAGCTATTGTTGAAACCATAGCAACTAATTCAAATATAAATGACCAATTGAATGCATGTGCAACCATTAATGAAGCTAAACCAAGTACACGTATTATTATCCACATATAACTGATACCAGAGATATATCTTGAACCATGATTAAACAAGTGAATTATTTGTGGAAGAAACGATACACCCAAAAGAAGATAAGCTAATACACGAATAAATTCAGCTAATTTACATGTTGATGCAGAATATTTTTGTAAACAATTTTCATAAAATGAACTTTTATTTGCTGAAATAATTGATGTTAAGGCTGCTGTTGTTATTGTAAAACTTGTATTATTCAAAAAAGTAGTAACCGATGTAGTTGGTGTAAGAGTGGTTGTATTATCGACCATGATAAACTATACTATAAAAGAAATAATATATTGTTAAAAGCTCAATGCATGACTTTTGTTAAATAGAAAAGCGAATACCAATAAATAGAGAAAACAACTTAAAATAAATAGAAAAAAATTCTCAGTTAGATATTCTCGGCGTTTCTTTTTATTATCGACAATATATGCGAACATTACCAGCAAAATAATATTCTTACTCACATTTATTTTTTTTTTCTGTTCGCTTCTCTATCAACGTATTTTTATGATACAGACATTCACTGACACATGCGTAGTAGTAGTCGATTCATATCGACAAAAGCTAACATATATTCAAAATGTCTTCTTATCTTCGCAGTGAAAAAAAAAGAAAAGGGTAATAGCAGCTTCTTATTTAAAATAACAACAGTTGATTGAAACATCAGATTACATACTCTTACATAATGTTCATTCAAATGCTTTACTAATTGATCCAACAGTAAAAGAAAGAAAAAACCCGGGCTAGACATAAAGATTGAATGCATACATAGAAGAAAACAGAAAGAAAATAAAAACAAAACCCTACCGTGTCAAAAGGATGTGAGTGAACGAAAAAGAAAAAATTATTATAATCAAGACGCATACAAAGAACAGCGTTGGATAGAAAAAAAAACCTGATGGTAAATATACGCATGATGCATTTGATGAATAGAATAAGGCTTGATGAAGAGGTGACATGATGGAGGGTGATGAGAAAAACGACGAGATGAGAATAGAAGAAAAAGAATCGAAGCAAAAGAAAAAAAAAGAAAAGAGGACGAGAAAAATAGTAAAAGAACAAATACAGAAGTATTCGAAGAAAGAGTATATATGTCTTTTTAAACAAAAATATATAGATACGATCAAAATATTGATTCGTTGACCAAGTTTTTTTGTTATTGTCATCATTTATCATATTCTTCATTGATGTATAAAAATAATTATGATTTATTTCACGACAATAAGTCTACCTATGAGGATAAAATGTGATGATCTCTTGTTCAAAGAATTTTTCTCACTTACAAATTAAATGTTAGCTAAAAGCTTTTCTTTTTCTTCTCATATCAGTATTTAAATATTTGCTTTCTTTTATAATTAAGCAAATGAGCTTTTATTTTTATCAATATACTGTTCAAACTCTAGCACATCTAGTCATTATGAATAAAAAAAACTACAAAGGTCTGAATTTATAATAAAAACCAAGGATGTACCGAGTGATGAAGGAAGACTACTCTGCCTCAAGGTTTTAAAAAATTTTCGTTTTCTTCTAACGAACTTTCAAAGTTTTATTGTTATTTTCCCTTTCGTCAATTCTTAAAAGACGCTCAACATCTCCTGCCTCAAAATTCGATCGACTTTTGCAAAAATCTTTCGGTCAGTCACTTCAATCCTGACGACTTCAGGACACCTCTGGATAAAATGATACATTAATCTATTCTATGTAATACAAAACTAATCCATTGAGAATTCATATTAAATAGATTTGTAAAAAATTTATGCATATAAATAATAAATGACATTGTGACCGACTTTGATCTATGCTAAAATAGATTCATATAGTCAGTGATTTATTGATTATGGACCATATGTGAGATAGTTTATATCTAGAGGTGATAGTTTTGTATCCAAAAAGTTGGTATTTTTTTTTATATAAACACTGTCGAAAATTTATTTCTATGAGAAAACTTTAAATCTAGAATATAATTTATAATTTGAAAAATGAAATATCAATAAAAGAAAAAGAAAATTAATTAAGAAATGTCCGTTTTAAATATTTAATCATGTTCATTCTGGATATTTACTATGGTAAACAGGTTAAGTTATATCATAATCAATTGGAGGTTCTTTTGGTCGTCGTTTTCGACGATTATCGCCCACTTGACATAAATCGATTGAACTAACAATATTTTAAATTTATCAAATAATAATAATTCATCAAAAAATCTTTTCTTTCTCTTACGTGACATAATATGATGATCTATTTCGAGTTGCTGGTCTATGTAATGTTTGCATTCGTGAATAATCTCTTGTATCATGAATATTTGCTAATTGAGATGTAGTTCTATTATCAATTGACGATAAATTATATGGTTGACGAATATTTCTTGTTTGTACACGTTCTTCAAGACGAGTATCAGCCGTATCTCGAACTTTTGATAACTGTGATACTCGAGCATTTTTTACAGATGATTTACGTGCATAACAAATACTAGCAATAATAAGTGCAAGTTATAATAGGAAACCTACAGAACCAAGAACAGAACCAAGAACTATAGCTAAAACTCGACCGTTATCCTTTGCATTAAGATCATTAGAAGGAGAAGAATTCTACAAAAAAATTTAAAAAAAGTTATTTTGTTTTTTTTAGTAAAGCTATTTTATATAAATTACTGCTAATCTTGCAAATTGACAAAGTCTACTTGATGATAATGATATATTTGATAAACAATCTGTTTCAGTTAAAAGCTTCAAATTGCGTTACTGTTAAACTTGATATATTACTACATGAAAATCGATTTGTAATTTTTTCTGATGAATTAAATAAACGAAAATATTCTTTGATATATATTGAAGAACATTGACATTCAATTTTGTACTGAACTATTACTATTTTTTATACGTTCAAATATATCAATAAGGTAATTTAATGATTTACTTTTACATGCATTATAATTTTGCGCTATTTGATCATTAAGAAGAAAACGCATTTGATTTGATCGAATAATATTTGTTGAAACTGGTCCATTAAGTAAAGACTTTTTCTCATAATTATTAATAATATGATAACCATTAATCGTTTTTGAAAATGGATTATTTTCTAAATTAATAGTTGTATCTGCATACGTATATGCAAATAAATCGAATTGACTTATTCGATTTGATGGTAACAGAAGAGTCTGTCTTGATAATTATCTACTTGAGATTGCATTTTGATTTGAACGTAAGAGAGTATATGGTAATTGTGGTAGATTATTTGATGTAAGATCAATCAATATCCAATTGGATAATGTCAAAGTGACAGTATTAATTTGATTATAGGCAAGATTGATATTTTGAACGGTATTATTTGATGAACAAGGAAATGTATTACTATTTAATATCCAAAATGATTGATTCGAAAGATCGATAGAATTTGATGGTAATGAACATAACTAAACTGGTAATTGAGATAGCGAATTTTGATTATTAATTGAAACTTGTGTTATATTTTGAAAATATATATTATTAAGAATTACTGATGAAATTTCAGTAAGCGTACTTGATTCATTGATACAATCAATAGAAACTCGCCGTCCACCAACATAAAATGTAAACAGACAATAACTATTATTCACAGTTTGAGTTAGATAATATCGATATATCTATGTAAAAAACAAACACATTATTACTAAAAAACACTTGTTTATTATTGTTTTTTTTTCAATTTACTTTAGTGATATTATCAGTTGTATTAACTAATATTATATTACCATTGTTTGGACTTATATTACAAAGATGTGGTATGGTATTTGTGAAATTAACTGATGAAATAGAACAAGCTGCAGTATTTGTATTGTTAAAGAATAATGTTTGATCCGTGCACAGAGTCTTTGATAAAGGATACGTTGAAGAAAGACTATTACCAAACGAATATAAGAACCTTTTTTTTTGTATATAGTATTGATTACAAGTACAGTTTATTTTTGATGTACCAAAATTGATGTTTGAGAAACTGAGTGTTAAAATGTGAACTCTTGAAGGAATACTTGTATTATATATTTGTTGAATTTCATAACAAGCACCATACATTTCATAAATAGCATCTGTGAAGTCGATTATTTCACTATTATTTGTTACATCAATAGTCGCACCAAGTGAATAATTGTATGTTGAGATATTAATATTAGCATTATTTGTTATTTTTGATATTTGATTATTAGATAAATCGATAGATACGAAAACAAGTACAATTGATGCAAGATTTAATGATGTTAATTGATTATTTTGTAAAAACACTCGTTGAAGATTCCTTTTTTCTGTTAAAAACAAGGATGGATATTCACTAAATAAGTTGTTACTCATATCAAGTATTCGTCAAGCTTCTAGACAAGATGGATTTGTTGAAAACAATGTCGAGTCTAGATGATTAAGACGATTGAAGGATATATTTAATACCTTTAAAAAGCAGATAGTACAAAGAAAAAGAAGAAAATATGAAGTAAAGAGAAACGAACTTGTAAATTCGGTAAAAAACAAACATTTGGTGGAATAGTTTATAGGGGCTCACGTGCACCATTAAATCCTTGTACACTTAATGATGTGATACGGTTCAAAGTCGTTAGAGTGTAATTATTGATAGGAAGTAATGACATGTTTGCATTGGATGAACATGACAATAATAGATTTGTATTACTAACGGAAAAAGTTGAAAGGCATGTTGATATATTCATCATAGCAGTTGAAGTCTACAATCATAAGAAAATCAATAATGATTTTTCAAATAGGAGAAAAACATGTGAATTTCAAAAATTCGTTTGCAACCTTATTGTTCAAATATTTCTTCTAGCGAATTTTTTACTGTTTCTACATTTCACAATAAAACCCTCCATTGAAACTAAAGCAAAATTATCGAGATGATCGCACCTACAACATAATACCTAGATTGTGCGTTTTTCAATCTGTCTTGTTGTATGAGTTTGTAATATTCGCCGCTATATATCTTACTATTTTTGTAGGCGTTGTTGTTTTCAATGTTATAGATGTTGATGATGTGCCTGTTAGTGAAGTAGATGAAGATGAGGAAGTTGTTGATTCTAATGTTGCAGTTGTGGTTGATGTTGCTGTTGTTGACATAGAGGAGAGTGTGGCTGTTGTTGTTTCCGACGTTGTAGTTGTTGATGATGTGGCTGTTGTTGATGTAGATAAAGACATGGATGTTGTTGTTTTTGACGATGATGTTGTTGTTGACCCTGTCGCTGTCGTCAATATGATTGCCGTTGTGGTTGTTGCGTTCCAGCCAGCAAGTTTGCATAAGCGAGGTTAGATTTGTGTAAAGTTGACTGTGGAGTATCTTAGTGAACAGACATAATTAACAAAGTTCACCGGTTGATTAGCGCATGATAAAGTAGATATATGGCCTGTAATCGGAAAGCCGAAAGCAATTTTGAGCATTTCTAAGATATAATATTGATCAAAACTGCAATTCAATTTTGTTGTACCTAAATCAATATTTATCAAGGCAAAAGTTAATGATGTTGGACGATTAAGAGTATCTGTCAATGCTAGTCCAACTTCCTTGCAAGACCCATACATTTCATAGATTCCATCATTAAAATCAAGTATGGAATTACCATCAAGTTGAACCTCTGTATCGCCAGCTTGAAGGTCTAATGATATACTGTAATTAGTGGGATTAGTAATCGATTTAATCTGATTCCTTCTTAAATCAACTGTTCTTTGAACAAGTGTAAGAATAGATAAATCGAATGAACTCAATTTATTATCATTTAAATAAACTGAATTAAATTGAGTCGATGTAAAGAAAGAACTTGAAAATGTTGCCAAATAATTATTGCTTAAATGAATTGTTTTCCATCGAGTCGAACAGTTGAGGATATCAGAAAAGTTAAGTGTATTTTCAAGTTGATTGTAAGTTAAATTGAGAATCTATATAAACATTACATTTGCTCAATGTAAATCTAAAGGCTTAAGAAAAATTTCTCACAGTTAGATTTGACATCCAACAGATATCCGATGGAATAGAAATAAATGGTTCACAAGTATTATTTTCACCTTGAGCAAGAAAACTAGTGAATTGTCTTAACCATGATATACTAATTGATAGAAAAGGTAATTCATCAAGTCTAGTGCCATTTGGACATGTTAATATCAACTGTGGCCAATTAGTTGTATCAGCCGAATATATTGTAGGATGACCATACTGTAAGAGAAGCGATTTCAATGACATAAATATAATTATATTGAGTTATGCATATGGAAAGAAGAAAATAATATTCCTTTTTTTTCATACAAAATCCATCGAAGCTCGAACATAGTCCTTTCGTGTTTTCTTACTGCTTGTAATGTTATGGTTAAGCTTAATGCACGGAAAAAGCGTTGCTTAGTTAGTAATCAAGCTAGAAATGATTATTTCTGTTGGTTTTTATTTTATTAGAAACACACAAAACACATTTCACACCCTAGTTTAAGCAAACACAAAAAGAAGATAATATAGTAATGCGCTCATGCTTGCAATGCAATGAATGAGACACATCAGTTTATTGTCCTACACTCTTTTTTTTTTATGTCTCATATATTAATAATAAGTGTCTCTTTCCAGATAAAGCATTAGATTTGATCATGCTTGTCAGGCTCTTGGTTCTTGAACTTGTTGATGAAGATAAGGACGTTGAGTTTTAGATAAATTATTTATAGGATCATAATTAGAAGGCTTATTAGAAGTATATGAACTTGGTGCATATTGTGGAACAATACTGCTTGCTGACCTGTATGAAATATTGATAGGATTATTTCAAGAAACAAAGAAACTCAATACCTAATTGCATCAAGTCGAAGTGGAATACCTCTTGACGATCTTTGTGGATCAGATCTATGCAATTTTGTCATTGAAGCATGTGTAGTAGTCGTTTCAGATACTACCGAACCAAAAGATGGCCGAGGTAATTGCGATGTTTGAGTAGTAAGTGGTGTCAATCGAACAGGTCGTAAATTTCTTGTTTGTAAACGAGATTCTAAGAGAGAATCTGGAGGTGCTTGACTGATAGCCATTGTTCGAACGACCGGTTTATTTGTTACTGTAGCATTGCTTGCAGCCCTTGCTTTGAGAACAACAATAGCAGCGATAAAACCACCAACTAATGCAAAAAATCCCACTAAACCAAGAACAAGACCAACAATTAAGCCAGTACGATTTGTACTTGAATCAATCGCAGCAATTGTCTTCGTAGTCGTCGTAGTTGTAGTTGTCGTTGTGGTTGAAGTAGATGTTGATGTTGAAGTCGAGGTAGTAGTTACGCTGGTTGTTGTAGTTGTCGTTGTGGTTGAAGTAGATGTTGATGTTGAAGTCGAAGTAGTAGTTACGCTGGTTGTTGTAGTTGTCGTTGTGGTTGAAGTAGATGTTGATGTTGAAGACGAGGTAGTAGTTACGCTTGTAGTTGTAGTCGAAGTTGACGTTGTAGTCGTAGTGGAGGTTGACGTTGTAGTCGTAGAGGAGGTTGACGTTGTAGTTGAAGTTGAAGTTGACGTTGTAGTCGTTGTTGTCGTTGTTGTCCACTGAAATCAGTAAAGAAGACGATTTAAAAATAATACTCCTATAGATCACTGAAGTATTATTATTCAATACATATAGTTCTCATTGATTTCTCTAGTTTACATACGTCTGATCATAAAAACATTCAAAGGCTAGGAAGCCATGCATAGATATGTGTAAAGCAAGAATAACATGATTAAATCAACATGCTGAGAAAAAAAAGTAAGAAGAGAAGTACTGGTGTCCAAAACTATAACAATATCTATTCATCGATGGCTAAATAACGTCAATCATATTTGTGATATTAGGATGATCAAGAGTATCGTATTGATTTGAATTAAAAAAGTAAGAAAGATAAAGGGTGATTCATTATTGATGGAACACTTACGTCCGTACTGATCATCATATTGTTATCTGTTACTGTTTCTGTTGCATTAGTTGTTAATAATATACTAGAAAGAGAGGGTATAGTCGGTAATGTAGTTGTGGTGTCGATTGAAATTGCTATTGGATTTATTGCCGATGAAATAGTCATTGAATGACTATCACTTGACGAAGATATTGACGTAAATTTTGAGTAAGAAGAGTTTTTTGATGTTATTGTTTCAATATATAGAGTTGATAATTGTTTTGAGTTATTAGTTATTTGTAGTGTATAAAAGTCAATACCTTTTCCTTCGAATTCAGGTAAACTTATATATTGCTGATTTTTTGTTACATTTGGTGATGATGATGATGATGAATTTATTATAAGAATAGTTAGAGAAGTACTAGTTAACTGAACATGAGTGCTTAAAGATTCCATTGTTGTGTTATCCAAAAATGTCTGTAAAATGATTAAAAGAAAGAAACAAACACACAATTACAATAGTCATGCCATGCCATTCATATAGCATAGTTGGCAACGACAGTGCATCAATTATGTGTATTTGTGAAGAGATACAAATATTTTTTTTTTCTTCTTATATATTGTTAGACAAGGAGATTAAAGACACACATCGAAAAGTTTTAGTTCTTAATAATTGACAAACATGAATAAAGTAATACGAACACATTGCAATGATTAGATGTGCGCAGTAAATGCTCTAACTATGAAAATTGTGTCTTTCCATGAAAATTTTAATGACTTTCTTCCTTTAACTTAATATTTTTTAGTTTAGGTTTCTTTAAGAATATTGAACATACCTGTAATGATTCATTCAAACATAATCCTGACGAAAAATTCAAAGTCGCCGATCCACAAGATAAAATTGTTAAAGCATTAAAACTAACTGTTGATGTTCCATTTGAACAAGTAAAATCTTGAGTAATATCAGATTGATTTCGTAAAAAAATTTCTTTCAAATTTATAGATGCACATGTACAATCTAGTAAAATATTATTGTAGACCGATTGAAGAGTATTTCGATATGCTAGAACAGCATAACGATTACATGTACCAGCAGTTAAAGCTGTTTGATCATTGAAAATATATGTACTATTCGTTACAGATGATGGAAAAGTTATAATGGTTGTTGAATTTGTGTTATTCGCTAATGGTAATGTTACATTTAGTGGATTAATAATACTTGAAATATTTATTGGATTATCCCTAAGATCGATTGTAATATTTTTAAGTGTGTAAAGAAAAAGATCAATTGAAGTAATTGAATTATTTCTTAAATCAAGAAAACGCAAAGAACTTGGCGTAGGTATAAGAATTGAATAAGGAATTCCTGTAAGTTGATTTGATGATAGGTCAAGTAAAGTTAAATTAGTAAAATTACCACTTCTCATATTTACGGATGTCATTTGATTATTAGCTAAGCTAACTGAACGAAACCAATCAAGACATGGAAATGTTTCATCATTAAGTATGGTGAATGATTGAAAACTCAAATCAATATCATGTGATGGTAATGAACAAATATATGATGGTAAAGATGAGATAGAACGAGCAAAATCAACACGTCTAATATTAGAAAAATAATCACTTGAAAGTAATTCGGAAGGAATAGTCGATGAATCTGATATGTCTTTTGTACATTTAATTCTTACTGTAGTCATATTCGAAAAATTAAAGAAACATGCACCTGGTTCCATCATTTTGGTTTCATAATGTGGATAAGTTGACTAAAGGAAAAAATATACAATATTATTATTATCTTATCGGTAAATTCAAATGAATAATACACAACGATGAAAACGGAAACTTGTTTCTAGAGATATGCAGAATTAATCTACCCTGTAGAATAGGATAGAAGAGTGGTTAAAAAATTTCTCTCAGTCAAGATAAAGATAAGTATAATATAAATAGGATAGGGTTCGGCCTAAAAAAGTTTTTTCGGTTATGGTGCAGGGTACGAAAAAATCTTACCTTTCATGTCTCTAACGTGATATTATTTTGCTATTTATCCCTGTTAGAGTCTTTGAACTACAGTACGATTACAGAATAGTTAAAAAAAAACGCTTTGCAGCGTAAGCTAACGGTAGATTTTATGTAGTCTAGGACTAGGCGAGAGTTAGAAAACTTTTCTCAATCGCCGTACGGAGATGAGAAAAGCTTGCTCTGCAATCCCTACTTATTTCTATAAAAGATTTAATAAAATTCATACTACATGTAATATGGAGCTCATACTATTTTTTCTTTCTAGATTATTATACTCAGTACAAATATTTTACATAGGTTTTTTTTTCAAGCAAAATCATTGTTTTTGTCCATTGAGTTTAATTTCTCATTTCCTTTCATTTCCAATTTAAAACAAAATCGTACAACTGATAAAATCTACTGACAAGTAGAAAAACAAACGATTTCTAAAATTTCATAAACTCATATCTTACCACATTTATGGTAGGAACACTGATATTCGAAATAGTAGTCAGATTACCAGATTCATATTCATAAATTTTGCATTGTCTTGGATAAACTTTTGAAAAATCGACAGATGAATTAGGTAGATCAATATCAAAAGTACAAGTATTGTCAATAAATAATGTACCATCGAGACATTTTGCGCTGTATATTGGTATTCTTGAAGTTGCTGCTGGATTACTATCAGCAAAAATCGTAGAAATCATTGCCACAATATAAGATTGATCACAACTACAGTTAATTCTAGTTGTTCCAAAATCAATATACGACAGAGCTGAAGACAATATTGGTTTAGTTATTAGTGGATCTGGCGTGGATGAATTGAGCCAATAATAAACTTCACTACATGAACCATACATTTCATATACGACATCAGTTAAATTTATCGTTGCGCTATTATTAGTGAGATTAATTGTTGCATCTGACAATGTATATTCAGATATATTATAAAAAGCAGTATTCGTTATAGTAGAAATTTGATTGTTGCTAAAGTCTGCGCTTTTATTCACTAACAAAGCCCATAATTCAAAATTTGTCAAAGAATTATGTGAAAAATCAATTATGTCTAGATTTGATAAATTAAAAAAAACATTGCCAGGTACATCAGTAAGTTGATTAAATCGAAAATAAAGCTTCTGTAATGTTGGCATATTATAAATCATAGCAGATGGAAATTCAGATATATTATTATCACTAACATCGAATGTAGTCACACTAGATAAACAATCACTCAATACGTTTGCTGGATCGACTTGACCAATGCGATTATATGAAAAATCGATATTCTAAAACACATTTAAGTCAATATACTGAGGAAACGACATTTGTTTAACTAACCTTTAAATTAGGTAATAAACAAATATTTGGAGGAATTGATGTAAACGGACCTCGAGTATTGTCGTCAACACCATTTACTATAATTGATGTTATATTAGCCAATTTATCAGCAGTATAGTTGTACAATGGAAGTTCATTGATTACAATATCGGATAAACATGTAAAAATGATCTCTGATGTATTAAATATTCTACTAGTACATTCATTCTCGGATAGACACATCTAAAAAGAATATTTGTTCAAATAAAAAAAGAAATTCGCAATTCCATACTTACAGTCCATAATATTAAGCTCACTACAATAACTAATAACCATTTGATGATCATGATTATCTAAAGTCTCCGAAAATATTTTGCTTATTTTACATAACAAATGATCACCAAATCAAGAGATCTGAAACAATTAATATATAAAAATAAAAAATCTAACCATATTTTTTATGGTAGAACTTAAATTGTTTCATGTTGCTCAACCTCTCTCACTTCATTTTCTTTCCATTTAACAATAGTTGTGTTTAATTGATTGACAGCAACAGTCTTTATGAAAAAAAAAAAAGAAAAACTCGCCATCATTGGAGTGTGTATATGATGAGATAACCTTCAACTAGCTTGAAAAAGAAGAGCGAAGATAGGAAAGAGAGAAAATAAAAAAATCAAAGTTTCAATGATGTCGATGACGACGGCTCCTATGTTTCAATCACAATCATCTCTTATTTGTTAAAAGTAATATGCATGCATGAGAAAAACGAAGAAAAAAAAGAATAAAGTCGAAAAGAAATAAATTAGTATAAGAAAATTGAAAAAAAGCGTACCTGTATGTTGATAATATTATTTGTTTGAGTCTGATTCTGAATAAAACCTTTCAAATACGCATATCAATATAATGCATATCTTTTTATTCCCATAACAAATATTGAACATCGACGTTATAAACACATTGCTCAATGCCATGAAGAATTTTTTTTTTGTATTACTCTTTTAATGTTATTCTAAAATAATTTTTTGTGTTCTTGATGTTCGAGTGTTTGGTAGCATATTTCATAATGAAGAAGTGTACATTTAATTCTCATCTGTTGATCAAGGTGTTAATAATTTTTGAGAAAATTGTATTTTAAGATAATTTACATGCTAACAAAAAAAAAATACTTAGTGTATTGCATAATCATTTCAGTGAATATTCTTTTAATTGTAAAAGAACGAATATAGATTATTCGAAGATAATGTTCATCGGTCCTTTTAATTTATGAAAGAAATGACTTTTTTCTTTTATATTTTATTAGAATCAAGTAAAATTTACAAAAAAAGAACAATACAATCTATTTTTACTTGATTTTGTTTTCATTGTTTATGTTTGCATTGCGGCAACTTTATTATTCTCTATCAATATTGGACACTGAACGAATTTGGGAATGATTTTCAACTTAGGTTTTTTTGTAGTATACGAAAAAAATTACCCAAGTACAAAACAATGTTGGGTTCTTTTGATTAAACTTAAGATCGTTTCTCTGCTCTGTATTTATTTTAACATGCAGATTTAAATGTACTCACACTAAATCTACCTTATGTACATGACTATTTTCTTTAAATTAAAAGAAAGATTATTTTTGCTGATTTAACAATATTACTTATGGATACATACAAAGCAACATCTTGTTTATACACAGTCGATCATAACAAAAAGCCATGGTAGCAAAACAAACTTACGCCTTCGCTCACTCATCCTTTTCTCATCTTTTCTTTGTCTTCAGCAGAAAAGTCTTCCGTTGTTCATTTCACTAACATACGAAAAAAAGAAATTGTTTATTTGATTCTGTTACAAAACAAATTACCTTTACTTCACATCATTTTCCATGATCGATCGTTGACAAAAAGAAAAGACGTGAAGAATGCCGACAATTGAAAAATTTATTGGTGTATTAGGCGATGCTGTTTGTTTTCCAGTTGAAAAAACTTCGCAAAGTATAAAATAATTTTGATTTAACAAAAAAAAATTTCGGTTTAATATTTATTGAAGAAAAATATTAAAAATTCATGTAGTAATAATAATCAAATGGTATACATTAAAATGAATACGAAATTTCTTTATGATTTTATATTTTATTCAAATGTATAATGATAAATTAAATCGTCTGTGAATACAAGAAAAAAAATAGAGAAATAATAATGAAATAGAAATGACGTGCTTACTATTTTAAAATAAGAGATATCATTATTTCCCAGGCATACGACTAAGGAGGCAAAATGAAATGATTTTACCCTCCCAACTTTTCTCTTGCTTTTAATCTTTCCTCTTTGAAAGTTTTTGTTGGCCAATATATAGTGAATGTTTTGGTGTTCCTTATAGACCAAATGTATGAAAACTTTCTCTTTAAGTTTTAGAGATAATCGTCGATTTTCTTTGAAATAGAAAGTATTTCATGTTTCGAATTTTTAAGAAAAATTATGATTGTTTAAAAAAGAAAATATTTCATTTCCATTTCCAAGAAAATTGGCTACTTTTGCTGGAAACGAGAAAAGTTTTACATTTTAACATGGTTTCTCTCTGGGCTCATGATACTTTATTCTTGACTTTTTCATTGTGCTGAATAAAACCAATCGAAAACTATGATTACTTCATGTATGGTTTATTTCTACAAATTTTTATTATGCACAACCAACATTAAGGATTATTTTAAAGCAGTGTTCAATTTTGAATGCAGACGTAATTTACATATCAAATATCGGTACATTGATTTCCGATTAATCATGCCCAAAGAACGATTAGATTACTGTCCTCATCGTACTTATTATCATGTCAAAGAACTATTTCTATCAGTCAATTATTTTATCTGAATAGTAAAGTTACCTAGTTATTATAGACCTTTTTATTAATCATAAAATACAGATAGATATGCAAGCCAATAAATTGATGAGCGGCAGCGGCTAAAAACTTTTTCGATAAATTATTAAATATTTTCCTAATTGCGAGAAATTTTGGAGTGAAAAAGAAAGAAAATGATGGTAGAGAACTTATTGACAAAAATAATCAGACGTTGATATGGTCATGAAATGATTTCGTACGTCGAAAATTTCTAAAAATTCCATATTTGTTGTTATGTCGCGACGGTAGTGATGGCACAACTGAGCAACTTACACTTCTAAGTATAGATATTGACATTTTATACTACTAATATGTGATTGAAAGCAAAAAATAATAGTATGTTTGAAACAGATACACAGAGAAACTCTCATAGGTGATATATGTTTAGTTTATATAATTAACTAAAATCAGTTTTGATTAACTGATATAATTAATTTCGTACTAATAAACATTAAAGTGACTTGTCTGCAAACAGAAATCATCGCATGTATATGAATATATAGACGTTATTGAACGTCACTATCCGAGCCTAAATAATATCAATATATCTGGAACTTTTTATGATCAATGTATACATTGGACTTATTTTCATGACCACGAATGTCATATTGAAATTAGTATTAGCATTAATTAATACTAAATCTAATGCTGAGACATTAATATAAAAAATAATTCTAATGCATTGGTATTTTTTTGCCATTATAATTAATTAATGATAAGATGTTAGCAATATTTTTAATTGAAATATATCTGTTATCTGTGACTAGACCTTTGACGATTCAAGCTTAAAAGCTCCTTAGCAACAAAACACTTTTGTTCTGTTTTGAAAAAAAGAACGAGTCTCATAGAGGAAGTCCTACAAATGTCCGACCATTTTTGCGTCTAGACTATGTACAGTATGTACATGCGAATGAGCTATGAGTAATCTGAAAACAGTTCGTGTCCTTCGCTTATTGCTATGGAGACCGTACACTTTCATAATATTGTTTTAAAATAAATGCTGTGATTCCCTTCAAGAACCTCAGAAAAACTGATTGTCGAGCTTTGACTTTAGATCTTGAATAGAGGTAGGTCCTCACGACAATAGGTTTGTTTATGAATATTTAAGATCTTGTCGCTGTTCCTATCCTAAGGTACAACTAGAGTACTAGCTTGTCTTTTGCATCACTCATATAAACGAGAGTAAATTTGATGTTCTTATTTCAGGATGAAAGAAAATCACAAGACGAGAAACTTTCATAGTAAACTATTCTCGTTAAGTCCTGTCTCTATGCAAAGCGTAAATTAAAAATTCGAAAATCAGTTTGTGTAGTATTCCTGAAGGGACTTCGTCATTTATTTAAAAAGATAATGTAAAAGCGCAGTATCGTCGCAGCCATAAACTAAGAGCATGAACTCTTTTCATCATAATCAAAGCTCATTTAGATCTACATAATGCACATAACCTAGATTTAAAAGTGATTAGACAGTTGTATTCAGGTAACAGATATCGATTCGACTTCAAAATAATGCGAATTTAGTGTTAACACCTTGTTATTAATTAATTCTAATGCCAAATAATACCTATATATAAGAGTTACTTTTAATACTGATATCAATATGATATCCATATGTTTGACTTTCTACTTTGTAATTGAAAGAATGAGAATCTGTTGTCGAGTTTTTATAATTAAGCAAATAATTTTGTAAATTAAATAATAAAACTCAATACCATTCAATTATGGTTTTCTTTCATTCGATAGTCTACTTAGTTTTGTTTAGTTCACTTTGATTCATAAAAGTTTAGTCTATTTTTGACTATGACTCTTTTCGAAAAACAAAATCGCTGATGAATACATAAAGCTTATGGAAAATATGAGATATCGAACGAATCGTGTTTTTTTTATGATAGAATTCATTCGTATTACGAATTTATAAGATTGACAGAAGGTGTTTTTAGTATTAATGATAAATGTCATGAGAATAAGTTTTACAATGGACCATCTTGACATCATGGATTAAAAAAGTTTGGATATTCAACAAAAGTGGATCAAAACATAGTAATACATATTGCATTTAAAATAAAGATTATTTGTTCCCAAATATTCTTTCGAAGTGTAGTGAAGAACAATTCAAAACAATGAAATTTTTCGACATATCTGTAACATTTCCTCTGTGAAAACAATTAACTTGCATAACTCTTGTCATTATTCTACATTTCATAAAGAAAGGTTACAGTGAGTTTAAAATATCTAATCGATCATCAAAGATCGTGTAAATGAAACAACAGCTGCATTCTGTAGCTACAATAATGCACTAATTCACAAGTATTCATCACAATGATTGATGTTTGTCCTTCATATGTCAAAACTCTTATTCAAGAA